CCAGAATATGATAGGAAAAACCCACCATCCTGGCTTTGAAAACAGTCCCAGCCATGTGAAATTCTACTTGACTACTCCCCTTAGAGAAGACAACACTGGAATGGCTGCCAATTTCACTGAAAGAGGAGGGGCAGAATAGAGAGATTCCTTTGGGGATCATCTTGGGAACATTTTGACCAATATCTTCCCTCCCCAGGGAACTCATCTTCCAAGTTCTTTAGTTGGGCCTGTCCAGTTCTTAAGCTTCACCTGTAACTTCTTGAAATGACAATCCGGCCACATGGCGCACCAAACTGCTTGTAGCTCCTCATACACCCTCTGCTGTTTCTCATCTCTGTGCCTTTTCTTATTTCAGATCCTCTGCCTGGTGTACCATTTACTTCCCACAGCCCTCATCTAACTCTTACTATTCATATTTTAAGACTCAGCAGTTGAAATAGCAGCTGAGGCCGAGATCAAGTCAAACTACCTATGCCCAAGACATTAAAAAACGAACAAACAAAAACAGCAACAACAAGAAAACCTGGTTTTAAGCATGGAAAGACTGTCAATATCGGGCAAAATAATAAGTTTGTTTGGGACATGTTATATGGATTCAACTGCATACACCAGTGGCATCTGAGCCTGCCAGTTAATGATAGCATGCCCTCATCTGAACAACCTCTGTGTATCTCTTAAGAATCACCCTCCCTGTAGTTGTCTGTGCTTCTCCCAGGACCATGGAATGTTGGTCTAGATGTCTCTCCTTGATGCTCTTGCAATGCCTTGCAGATATGAATGCAATTTACTGCTCATATAACTGTGTCCTTCCAGGTCTTGGGAGTCTTGGTGGTGCAGTGTTTAAGAACTTGGCTGCTAACCAAAAGGTCGGCAGTTCAAATCCACCAGCCTTTCCTTGGAAACCCTGTGGGACAGTTCTACTCTGTTCTGTAGGGTCGTTATAAGTCGAAATCGACTTGATGGAGAAGAGTTTGGTTTTGGTTTTTCCAGACCTTGAGTTTCTGGAGGGCAGGAACCATGACCGCTCTATCTTTTGATCTCTAACGTCTAGCATAAGGATTCTCTTTATTTGTTTGTGGGAGTGGGAGTGGGAGTGGGAGTGGGAGTGGAATGGAAGAAAAGATGGATGGTCCCTATATAGACAGCAACTGTGGTCTCCTGCTCTCTCTATCTCTTCTGCCTGGGTGGTAGAGACTCTATCCTCCTCCATTTTGAACCTCACCCCCCTTGCCTTCCCTAAATCCAGTAGGCCCCAACCTGCCAGAGAGGCCTTGCACCCTTACTAAAAGATGTGTTTCCTGGAGAAGACCCTAAGGATGAACTCTGACTTCTGGTGGACCTCAGATGTGCAGGGCATGATGAACTATGTTCCTGGGTTCAGCCACAGCTCTTGGTTCACTTCTTTCTCCATCTGAAATTTCTCAGGTCAACTCACAGGAGCACTTTTCCAGAAGAACTTAGGGGACCATTTTCTCATCTCCATAGTACTATGATTGGAGGAAGAAAAGAACCAGTTGAAGTGATAACCTGGGTTTGTGGCCAGATCTGGGGCCCTTGGCCAGAAACCAGGACTAAGGCAACCCTGACCAGCCAAATCCAACCCGCCGCAGTGGGGGATGGAAAAAAGGGGTGAGGAGTGGAGGGAAAAAACAGAATACATGGGGTGTGCAACTCTACTGGAACTGTATCAGGGATGAATAAATACATGTCAATTTACTTGATGTTACATTAAAAACAGCATCATGTGCAAAATGATGTGAGACATGTCACTGTGCCTGCAATTTCCATTTTGCAGTTGAGGAGTCTGAGGCTCAGACAAGGTCGGTCATCTGCCTAAAGTCACTCAGCTAGTAAGAGTCCCAGCCAGGACTGCAATTAAGGACAGCTGAGCCCCAATGCCCATGTTCTTTACACTACCTGATGCTGCTTCCATGTATGTGATGCGAGTTCAAGGTTATTATGATTCGTGGTTACCAATACAGATGGACTACCAACATTCTCCCCACCTACATGATGACAGCTACATACAGAGAAACTGGATGTTCTAATCATCTCAGTGAAACAAGCTCATAAAGGGGAAAGAGAACCCAACAAGAGCTCAGAAGACATGAATCAGAGCTCTGGTTCTGACAATGTTCCCAGCATGTGTTTTGTTTTCTCACTGATATTTGTTCTCTCTCTCTCTTCCTTCTCCTCTTCCTCTTTCTCCCTCCCTCTCTTTCTCCTCCTCCTCTCTACTTTCTTTCCTCTTCCCTTCTCTCTGTTTCTCTTCTCCTCTCCTCTTCCCTTCTTTTCCCTTTTCTCTCTTTCCCCTATTTTCTCTCCCCTCTCTCTTGCTCCCTCTTCCCTTTGCTGTCTCTCAGGGATATGGAGGGAGGTGAGGTCCTGTCTTAGTCATCCAGTGCTGCTATAACAGAGATACTACAAGTGGATGGCTTTAACAAAGAGAAATTTATTTCTTCACAGTAAAGTAGGCTAAAAGTCCAAATTCAGGGCATGAGCTCCAGGGGAAGGCTTTCTCTCTCTGTCGGCTTTCTCATCAATGTTCCCCTGGACTAGGAACTTCTTCACACAGGGACCCCGGGTCCAAAGGACAAGCTCTGCTCCTGGCACTGCTTTCTTGGTGGTATGAGGTCCCCCTTCTCTGCTTGCTTCCCTTTCCTTTTATCTCTTGTAAGGTAAAAGGTGGTGCAGGCCACACCCCGGAGAAACTCCCTTCACATTGGATCAGGGATGTGACCTGGGTAAGGGTGGTGTTACAATCCCACTCTAATCTTCTTCAACATAAAATTACAATCACAAAATGGAGGCCAACCACACAATTCTGGGAATCATGGCCCAGCCGAATTGATACACTCATTTTTTGGGGGGGACATAATTCAAACCATGACAGGTCCATACAGGGGTCTTCTCTCCAGTTTATATACAACTGTAATAAACACATTATCCATACACATGAAAACGTTCTTACCAGATTCCACTCAGGGTTAGGGAAAAAAATGGATCTCCTGATGAAACATAATTTCTTTCCTCAGACAATTAGAACTAGGGAATCATCCAGTTGCCTCTCTGCCTTAGCTGCAAGGACTCTCAGAGTTAAATTTTATAACCAGCCATAATAGCTGCCTAGCTTTATTTTTCCTGGTAGAATCAACTGTCTATATATCCCCCATCCATTTACGACTTTTCTCCTGCCTTTTTAATTTTTTAAGTGGTTTATAGTTTTGCTCTCTTTATATTTTTTAGTGTAGGTTGACCCAAATTCTATTTAGAAGTAGGTATGATATAAATAATTTTTTCTTTTCCAGTTAAGAGGCCTTAGGAGCACTCAGTGTTCCCATAGGAGGAGGATAAGAAAACAACCCAAGGCCCAATGTAAAATGGTTTCTTTACAAAATCCTTTTACGTGATTCAATCCAATCTGAGAAAATTAAGATTTTCACTGCTGTTATTTTTGGGAAACAAAATAATAGCTGCTACCCTTCTGAGACTGAGATGCCTCGTGCCTTCTTCTTCTTTTTATTGTACTTTAGGTAAAAGTTTACAGAGCAAATTAATTTCTCATTTAACAGTTAATACTCAAATTGTTCTGTGACATTGGTTGCCAACCCTGCGATGTGTCAATACTCTCCCCTTCTCTGCCACTGTTTCCCTGATTCCCTTCGTCCAGTTTTCCTGTTCCTTCCTGCCTTCTAGTCTTTGCTTTTGGGCTAGTGTTTCCATTAGTCGCCTATGCATGAATTGCACTACGAAGCAAGTTCCTCGTGTGTGTTATTGTTGGCCCCTATAACCAACAAAAAAACCAACCTGTTGCCGTAGAGTCGATTCCAACTGATAGTGACCCAATAAAACAGAGTAGAACTGCTCCATAGGGTTTCCAAGGAGCTGCTGGTGGATTCAAACTGCCAACCTTTTGGTTAGTAGCTGAGCTGTTAACCACTGTGCCACCAAAGCCCCACTGGCGCTATAGACCTTTCTAATCTCTGGCTGAAGGGTGAGCCTCAGGAATGATTTCAGTACTGAGTTAAAAGGGTGTCCGGGGGCCATACTCTCGGGGGTTTTCCTGTCTCTGTCAGTAGAGCAAGCCTGGTCTTGTGTGTGTGTGTGTGTGTGTGTGTGTGAATTTGAATTTTGATCTACATTTTTTCTCCTGCTCTGTCTGGGACCTTCTATTGTGATCTCTGCCAGAGTACTTGGTGCTGGTTGGTGGGCACTGTCTAGTTGTTCTGGGCTCAGTCTTGTGGAGGTTATGGCAGGTGTGGTCCATTAGTCCTTCGGACTAATCTTTCCCTTGCATCTTTGGTCTTCTTCATTCTCCTTTGTTCCAGCTGAGATGGGACCAGTTGATGTATATTAGATGGCCACTGGCAGGTTTTTAAGACCCCAGACGCTACTCACCACATTTGGATGTAGAACAATTTGTTTACTAGACTATATTAGGCCAAATGAGCTAAATGCCACCTGAGACCATATTCCCCAGCCCTCGGCCAAGTAGCTTGGTCTCTCAGGGTGTTTGGTGTTGTCTGTGAAGCTTCTATGACTTTCCCCTGGTCAAGTTGTGCTGACTTCCCCAGTATTGTGTACTGTCTTGCCCTTCACCGAAGTTACCACTTATCTACTATCTAGTTAGTGTATATCTCTCCCCACCACACCCCTCCCACATAAGCATCAAAGACTTTCTGTGTGGAAACATTTTCATGTGTTTTTATGGTGATGGACTCATACAGTATTTGTCCTTTTGTGATGGACTTATTCCACTCAGCATAATACCCTCCAGATTCATCCACGTCATGAGACGTTTCACAGATTCACTGTTTTTTATCATTGTGTAGTATTCCATTATGTGTGTGTACCATAGTTTGTTTATTCATTTATCTGTTGATGGGCACTCAGGTTGTTTCTATTTTTTGCTATTCTGAATAATACTACAATGAACATGGGTGTGCATATTTCTATTTGTGTGATGTTCTAATTTCTCTAGGATATATTCCTAGGAGTGGAATTTCTGGATTGTATGGTATTTATATTTCCAGCTTTTAAAGGAATCGCCATATCATTTTCCAAATTGGTTGTACCATTTTGTATTTCCACCAAAAGTGCATAAGTGTTCCAATCTCCCTACAAACTCTCCAACATTTGTTATTTTCTGTTTTTTTTTTTTTTTTTAAATTCGTACCAGTAATGCCGGGGTGAGATGGTATCTCATTGTAGTTTTGATTTGCATTTCTCTAATGGCTAATGAATAATGACTACTATTATCCAAATTTATGCACCAACCACTAAGGCCAAAGATGAAAAAATTGAAGATTTTTACCAACTTCTGCAGTTTGAAATTGATCAAAGATGCAATCAGGATGCATTGATAAATACCGGTGATTGGAATGTGAAAGTTAGAAACAAAGAAGAAAGATCGGCAGTTGGAAAATATGCTCACGGTGATAAAAACGATGCTGGCGATCGCATGATAGAATTTTGCAAGACCAATGACTACTTCATTGAAAATATCTTTTTTCAGCAACATAAACGGTGACTATACACGTGAACTTTGCCAGATGGAATACACAGGAATCATATCACCTACATCTTTGGAAAGAGACGGTGGAAAAGCTCAACATTATCAGTCAGAGCAAGGCCGGGGGCCAACTGTGGAACAGATCATCAATTGCTCATATGAAAGTTCAAGCTGAAACTGAAGAAAATTAGAACAAGTCCATGAGAGCCAAAGTATGACCTTGAGTATGTCCCACCTGAATTTAGAGATCCTTTCAAGAATAGATTTGACACATTGAACACTAATGACCAAAGATCAGACGAGTTGTGGAATGACATCAAGGACATCATACATGAAGAAAGCAAGAGGTAATTAAAAAGACAGGAAAGAAAGAAAAGACCAAAATGGATGTCAGAAGAGACTCTGAAATTTACTCTTGAACGTTGAGTAACCAAAGCAACAGGAAGAAATAATGAAGTAAAAGAACTGAACAGAAGATTTCAAAGGGCGGCTCAAGAAGACAAACTAAAATACTATAGTGACATGTGCAAAGACCTAGAGATAGAAAATCAAAAGAGAAGAACATGCTCAACATTTCTCAAGTTGAAAGAACTGAAGAAAAAAACCCAAGCCTCAAGTTGCAATATTGAAGGATTCTATTGGGGAAAATATTAAACAACAAAAGGAGCATCAAAAGCAGATTGAAGGAATACAGTCATTATACCAAAAATGATTAGTGGACGTTCAACCATTTCAGGAGGTAGCATATGATCAGGAACCGATGGTACTAAAGGAAGAAGTCCAAGCTGCACTGAAGGCATTAGCGAAAAACAAGGCTCCAGGAATCGATGGAATACCAATTGAGATGTTTCAACAAACGGATGCAGTGCTGGAAGTGCTCACTCATCTATGCCACGAAATTTGGAAGAGAGCTACCTGGCCAACGGACTGGAAGAGATCCGTATTTATGCCTATTCCCAAGAAAGGTGATCCAAC